TTCCCGTCAATTGATCCGACCAAAGTGCTCGGTCTCAGGTTGATATGCCGGCTTCAATCGACGGGAAAATCTGAAATTCAATTAGGTGCTTTAAGGTTTACAGAAATACACTACACCATCAAAATGGACTTTATGGTTTTCTGTAGTCACATATCAGTCTAATCAAACATTTTTATAAGTAATTCATTTACATTTATGAGTCTTTCATAGAAATCAGTTTTGTTTGTTCTTACTGAGTAGTAACTATCGTCATTTGTTTGCCTCCTGTTATTGAGCATTAAACTACAATTTTCTTCTCCCTATCGATTGCATAGTTAACCATCGTACGTTGGTTCCATATTAGATAATTTCACTTTAAATATCACACAGTGATGCAGTATTATTAAAACTGCATGACAAGGTTTCGTACATAAATTATTGCCATTCATTATGATATGAATTCAGTCATACATCTTCACAGTTAGTCTTAGAAAGATTTTCTCTCTTTCTCTCTCTACAACTTCCCCTTACTGTTTACTATTACTTTCTATATCTCCTGTATAGGCGTTGTATCATTCCGACTGCATGTGTTTCCTGTTGTTTCAATAAGCGAAAATTCAATGATTAACCTCTCTATCTCTCCTCCTAATTATATCACTTTTTAATACTCTCACCTTGTCCGACCCACACCGTTTTGTAATTACATGCAAGTGAATGCACTGCAATGGCTGAGCTTACTTCTTCTAGATGATTTAACTCACCAGGGTCAACTATTTATTTTTTCTATTTTTTTGATTACAGCTTGATTCCAGACCGTATGTTTTGGTACAGGTATGGAATTTTCAGCATAGATATCGGTAGCCCAAATTGTGCAGGCCGACCATAGATATCAGGTGTGCATCGGCAGGGGATTGAACCTCGGACCGTGTGCATGGTCAGCGAGAGTCCTAACCACTCTAGGTCTAGCTAAGTTTTTATATTTCAAATAACCTAGTTGACTCTGATCTACTAGTTTGACCTACGTGAGTGACCTCATCCGCAGTCATTACATGACACTTGGTAAATTGAATTATTTTTCTTAAATTGGATCAATTGAGTTCTTAAGCCGACAAAGTTTATCTCTGAGAGAGTTGGTTGGTTTAAATGCCATCCTAATTCTAGCCTCACTGAGAATACTACGTTAGGCCTCCAACGTTCCTACTTTAAACGGCAGTACTACAGAGGCATTGAATTTTATATTATTTTCGTCATTTTCATTACTAATCTTGTTTATTCTATGGTTCTTCATATATTTTTGAATAAATTTTGATGGGTAGTTATGCACTAGTAATCTTTCCTTTATTTGTTCGACTTCATAATTTAAATCTGTTAGGTTATGTTGGTTTCACATAAATACTAGTATCTAACTACCCACCATTTTGTTTTTACTTTATTCTAAAATCTGGAACAGCCAACTCACCCCGTTCGATTTCGAATTCAGTAGTGAATTTACTTCCGTCTACCATTGAGTTTATGTGCGTGAAGAGCTGAGAGATATGTTCCTATTTCAACACAGTGATGGAATGTGTCATCCACAAATATTAACCATAACCTAGAAGTAGGATCAAAAGTTCAAAGACCTTTGTTTTCTCAACCCTCCATAAGTATGTTTGTTACTAGTGAGGATATTGGTGATATGATTGCCACTCCAACCATTTGTTTATGTGGTTTATTTTGAAGTTTGTCAAATATTGACTTATATTTCAGAAATTTCATCAAAATATCTTTAGTTTAGAGGCTTTTAATTCGAATTATCTTAGTATATAAAGAGACTTTCATCGGCACAAAGCGTCAAACAGCAGGGAGATAGCTTTGATGACAGAGGAGGTAAATGATACAGTGTTGCGGAGATCTATGGCAGACGTGAAATGAACACAAAGAAACAAAATATGAAGGAAGGTGAGAAGTAGCACAACACGAAAGTTCTGTGAAAATGGTGCTTTGAAGATAAGGTGTACATGATTTCGATATGTAACGATGCCAAATCCCAAATAAACGTTCTTTTGCCATGCCTCATCTTCTACCTGTATACTTTTATTCATTCGTATTAACTGATTTTCATCAGCTGCATTTATAAGTATTAAAGTACCATCCGTCCTTCCATTCATGAAACCAAGATTCCATAGTAGTAATATAAGAATAAAACTTGGGCACTGTGGTAGAGTATAACTCCATTATGGATAAGATTTTATTTTGACAAAATCATAAATAATATTAGTGTTATCAGTAAAATGCAATAAGATGAGAAATAAGATATCTTTTATAGTTAAAATAAGTAACTCGTTAGAATGTTATAATGTGAATTGAAATGCAATTTAAGATTATTTATTTCCCTCCTCTAATTTGACTGGTGGTAATAATATCTTCCGTGCATATCTCCGGTATTTGCGTTGAGTTACTTCTGTTGCATGTGTTGTGTTGGGTGTAGACTCGATAATCCAGGATTCAGTAATCCATTCCTCTCCACTCTGTTTTGTGGTTGTGTTTTAATGCATGTAGTGCAATGCAGTGCTGGACGTTTCTCTAAATTACTTATCTTCGTGGGATTAATCATTCTTACCTTAGCTAAATTCTTATGTTCTGAGAATCTAACTACCCTCGACCTACTGGTTTGACCTATGTGGTTGACTCAACTCACAATCAATGCAAAGTATTTTGTAAATTATGTTATTTTGTTTAACTGGGTCAACCCACAGGGTCCCTTAGCCTACAGAGCTTGTCCTTAAGTAAGTTTGTAGGTTTGAATACCAGCTTAATTCCTGTCTTATTGAGAATCCTACGTGGGGTCTCAAATGTCCCTTCCTTATTTGGTAAAACTCTGAATGCCTTATATTGTTTCTTATTTATATTATCATTATTAGTTTCACTATTACTTTTATTTTGACCTTTTCTGATCTACAGTATGAATTTTATAGGATCGTTAGGATCGTTTAACACCGACGCTTCTTCTATCTGTATCACTTCGCCGTCTGGGGTTTTCTTCTTGTACTTCTTAGTGCTATTCCTGCTTGACTAATATAGTATCTAAAGTCTTAGGCTCAATAATCATGCGTAGACTAAGTGGTGCTCGGGAGGCACAAACACGAGAGAGCCAGGCAGGCCTTAGGCCAGGAAGAGGGTGTATTGATCATATCTTCACCCTCCGACAGATTCTAGAACATAGGCACTCCTACCGGCGTCCAACAATCACTATATTCCTTAACCTAAAGGCGGCATTCGATTCTGTCGACCGAGAGGTTCTCTGGAGATGCTTGGCTGTAAAGGGAATTCCGAGAAAATACATTGCACTGATTAAGGCACTCTACTCGTACTCATACAGCCAGGTGAGGGCTTACGGCGAGTTGTCATCTGAACTGGTGACGAATAGTGGTGTCCGTCAAGGATGCCCATTATCCCCTTTTCTATTCAACTTCATCATAGATGTGTTAATGGACTTAACCCTAAGTGACTTCAGCGACTCAGGGATTGACTTGCTACCAGGGAATAATCTCGTTGACTTAGAATATGCAGACGATATAGTCCCCCTAGACGAAGACGCTGACAAAATGCAGGGTCTTCTGAACACCTTGCACAGCGATCTACGAATGTTTGGCACGCGATTCGCTCCCGCCAAATGCAAGATGATGTTACAAGACTGGACTGCGGCGACTCCTAGATTATAAATAGGGAGTGAAGTGGTAGAGCACGTTGATCGCTTCACTTATTTGGGAAGTACCATCAGCCACAACGAGTCGATCTCTGACGAAATCTCAGCACGAATACAGGGGGCTCGTTTCGCATTTGCCAGTTTACGCCGCCTCTGGCGTAGACGAGATATTCGACTATCGACCAAAGGGCGGGTGTACTGCTCATCAGTCCGCTCCGTCCTCCTTTATGGTTGTGAGACCTGGCCACTCAGAGTGGAAGACATGAAAAGACTAGCTGTCTTTGATCATAGGTGCCTGCGTTCTGTCTCCCGTGTGAAGTGGCATAGTAAGGTGAGCAATATTGAGGTTAGGCGTCGAGTTCAAGGTAAACAGGGGAAATCAATCGACGAAGTCGTGAAGTTACAAAGACTGAGATGGTTAGGACATGTGTTACATATGCCTAGTCATCGCCTCCCTCGACGAGCAATGTTAGCGGATATAGAGTCAGGCTGGAAAAGAGCTAGTGGAGGTCAAACAAAAACATGGCACCAGTCAATGAAATCCACAACAGCTGGTCTAAGCCACGTAGGAAGGTGTAGACTTCCAGGCTTGGGTCCTCGGGACGGTAAAAACAAATGGTTGGAAACAATTGGTGACATGGCTCAAAATCGTTCTCAGTGGCGCAGATGAATCCACTCACTGTGACTTATGATTTCCATTTAAACTATTTTGTTCTTCGTTATTACTCTTCCTTTGTCTCACACCTCTATTTACTGTCTCCATTATGCCTTTCTTGTAATTTCTTCTCTTACTTTATGTGCTACATGGAGTGTGGCGACTTGAACTTCCGCACATATGTTCAAAGTTCTATGTCGAAAACAGACAGACAGATAGTGCTATTCCTCAGTTTGTAAGACACTTAACTAAGCACAACCTTTAGAGACTTTGTAAGTTTAATGTTTCTCAGAATTGAGTTTTTATTAATGGCGTTGTAACCAAATGCATTTATTACAACGCGCACTGTTCAATTAAATGATCTTAAAATGTTAAGCAAGTTAACAATTATAATTGTTTGTAAAACAATGTAGGTTTTCAGCTTATATCATTTGTTATTTTCACTCCAAATGTGAAGCCCTCTTAAAGAAGAAGATTAAAAATGTTCATTTGCAATAACAAATTTGTTGTAAACAAAACAATCAAAGTGATACGCATAAACTGCAAAACATGCGTCAACTATGTACGTGTTGTTAGAACTTACACAAAACTTCGTAACTTTTCATTTTGTTTTCTTTTGTTGAGAAAAACTATAAATAGGACATCCGATAGATGATACATTGACTTGGATCTACTGAAATCATGAAACAAATTCTCTTCGTTCTCCTGTTAGTCAGTGGTATTAATTATCTGCAAGCAGGTGAGTTTGTTTAACTATTTCATTTTGTGCTAACTTATTGTTATAATGTCAGTTTTCCACATTTTAAATATTGATTACTGCAAAATTTAACAGTACACAGGGAGATATCGTCAGTGAATTGTTAATAATTGGATGTTTTGTGATTCGAGAGGTATTGTCTTAAGAAGAGGTTATCGGAATTAAGTATCTTGTCGACATAATAGTAATGCACCTAATATAAAGTTAAAATTACCTTGAGGAGAGCTTATGATGACTGTTGTAACCGAAGCATCCGAGATGAAAGTATAGGCAGTGAGAACTGTTATGAAATTTATACATAACAATAATATACATCTATTTTCAAAGCCGCAGAGGAAAAAACACTAAGAAAATCAGAGAAAAAGAACAGATTTATTATGAATTATTAGATTAAATCAAAAGTTAAACAGAATTGTCAACATCGAATACACCAGAAACGATTAGGTCATATTAAACATGAAAAACAGAAGAAAGGCTACGAAAATGCCATAACATTAAAACCTAAGAAATAAACGCAGGACAATTACAATCAATATGAGGGACAGTAAAAAGAATGTGGTAGGGAAATTTATGACTTTAGGTATTTTTCGATGTGATTGAAGAGAATAATATCACTGTTTGCGAAAGAATTATGGCAAATACCATTTAAGACTTTAGTTTTTCCGTGTATTCTATTAACTAACATGTGGGTATTTGATCAGGTAGATCAGGCATTTCATGATATTTTTATTGGTTGTCTTTATGAACATTTATATGTCTTAATGAATTACTTTATCATGAAAGGTCCTGTACTTGGTAAGTAATATATGACGCAAAGTTTGAAACACTATAAAAATTAATCTTATGACTCAAGTATTGGTTTGCAAGGATTTGTTTGATTGATTGGTTACAGGATTTCATTATGAGCTGACATCAGGTAAAGAACTAATGGAAAATCAAGTGGAAGTACCCGAAAGCTGTTTCCTACATCCTAGTTTGGGACTCTTCATCAGCACGTGCCCACCGCAGGGGTTCGAACCCAGTACTCTCAGGTTTTCCAATGGTTCGCTAACTAATATCAGCTCATGATGAAATCCAGTAAGCAATCAATATCAATGAGATGCTCACTAGCAACTGGCCCTATTCAGGTATTTAGTTAACCAGGGTCCTAGTGGGAAACTGTGACCAGTGGGGTACAGCAGATCGGGCTTGAGGATAAATACTCGCCGATAGCATTGGTTATTCGTTGCGCTATGCCGTGAATCTTAGAATTGCTTATTGTAATACCTTTTCATATCTCAGAAGAAATCATGAGTCTTGTATACAAGCAGAATGCGACTTTATTTGAAAAGCTCATATTCTCCCTCTGTCACCTTTAATCAGCGATTCCCAAGAGACATTGTGAATAGTGATAGGAGAAAGGGAAAGATAGTTCCATAGAGCGGTTCATAAAATCCAGAGTAATAACCAGGGTTTCATACGAAGTGAAATCTAAATTCAAGTCTGTTATAAAATGGGAGGCATCTCAACCGCCTTTTAAATCATTTGCTTATCAAAATAGTGCTTAGAAAATTTGATGAATATATATATATATATATCATAGCCACCACTTCAATAAGGAAAGGATCAGGTGTTTGATTCAGGAACCAGATGGAAACCAAACAAATGATATACAAGTTGGCATCAAGTGTTCCGAGATGTACTCATAATACTGACTAAAAGTCACACTAAATGTTGAAAGCTCCAAAGCAAACACTGAAAGCAATCAACCAATGTACTGAACTATAGTTTAATAGTAAAGGCATAGAAAAATTTAACTAAACAAAAAAATAAATATCCCAAAGGGGACCAAACAGAAACATGAAAGCTACAAGGCAGTTAGCGGCCTTATTTGCAGTGTGACTAAGTATCAGTTTTCTTGAAGTGTTTCATGTTATACTCCACAACGTTCCAGTTCCTGTATCCTTTGTTTAACACTGTAAAATCGGCCCAGAAGTTGAAATTTTGTTGAGAATACTTGGCGATTTGTTCCAATTATCAAGCATGCACAAAACTTGATGACTTCAAGATCTCTGAAAATTATCTGAGTACATCCTTAACAGAAATTACAACACCGTTATTGGAAGTTTACCATGCACTATATGAATGACAGTGTCTCCTAGATAAAGGCTGTCGGTTAAAGCACTTTGAAATACATATCTCAAAAATACTCATATGCACTAACAGTCTACTATGAATTATTCGTACCACCATTCGAATTCAAGTGATTTGTGTAGTATTTCGGTTACAATGATGGACACACAATTAGAAGAATTTTATTCGCAAAATGCTTACACCAAAATTTATCGTTGATCAGTTTGGCGCAGTTTTAACCGATTAAAGTGGAAAACTATTGTAAACACCACCATGTCTGAGGTTCGAATTCGCATAAACAATTATCACCAACACAAACTGATACGGCATTTCTGGCTGAGCTAAAGCGTTGAGGAAAAAATATTCAATAGGCAGACTAAATAACTGTTAAAATCCTTGAAAACGTTTTGTTTTTCAGCGAAAAAGCATTGAATTGACGTCAGATAACTTTAAAATATTTTACAGAGTGGTTACAAAGTAAGTTCTTATCAAAAACTAATGTCAAATTTAAATTTCGCATTCGTTCACCTTATCTTCTCCGTGAATTCCAGTAACGTGACAGCACTCAAGACTCCTGTTTCCGCTGGAGGATCGGTGTCCACTGGCAGTTGTGTGGTTGTTGACGATGCTGGTGGTATTTTTGAATGAGTCGCAGGTGGTGGTCGGTCCAAAAGTCCTTTGAAGTGATCAGTCCATTGTTCCCATTGCTTCTCCTTTTTGGCAATTAGGTTCACTTCACTGCCTTTCACTGGTTTCATCTGCGTTGACCTCCTCCCGGACATTGACCCAGTTATCTGATATACTGTTCTAAGGTCCGTTCCAACTGCTTCCTGTTTTTCTTCAATTACCATTGTGTCGTGGAACTGTCTTGTGCATTTTCTGTCACCCTTCCTCACTTCTGTATTCAGTGTGTTGTAGATTGAACTCAGTCCCTCCGTTCATTGTCCATCTTTGCACTGGTTCATCTTCTGTTTCACTAGCCCTCTCTCCTCTGTTAGCTTCCACATGTTTGTAGACAGAATTTTCATGTCTCGCCTCTTCTCCTTCTTCTTCTTCTTCCTTTTATTCCCTAAGACGACTCTGTAGGTCTCCATCAACATCACTTCCAGACAGTTATAGTGTTCTTCCGAACAGGTCTCCTCAGTGATTTCGCTTAATGTCTCAAACGTATCACTTATGATTGCAGTGAAGGTGTTTGTTGTAGTCTCCTCTCTCAATATCTGCATGTTGAACTTGAATTGTGGTCTACCTCCAGCTTCTTTGAAGTCTTCCAACTGGACATTGACAGTACCTTGCACTTGATAATCTTCTGAACACACATCTGTTCCCCTCCTAGACTTGGTGTCGATCAGGATGTGTCTTCACATTCTTCAGATTGGGGTGAATTCTATCTAGTTTTTGTTGTGACCATCTGGTGAAATCCATGTTACACTTGTATAGCTTAGCGCGTGTATATACTGCCTTCAAGCACAAAGTCATTGAGGATGTTGAAGTCTGAGAAGAGTTTCCATTCTCATCCGTCTTACAGGGAACCTCCTGATCCACTCTGCCTTCTTCTACTGTGTTATCAACTCCCAGTTTGGCATTCGAATTACCCAGTAGGGTTTTGAAATCGCCATCTGCCTGTATGCTTCTCCCCTAATGTTGGCAGTTTGTGTGTGGACGTCTTCGCTCCTCCTCTATAAGTTCTGCATCGTTTTCACAAGCGTACCATCGAATAATTGTAGCTTCTCTACTTTTCGAGTTGAATCTTGCTGCCATTCTCCCGGAAGAGTTTGATTCTCACTGCATACAAGCTTTAGATGACTCTGAAGCTGTCACGATAACTACTCCCTCAATGTGTTCGTGTCAGTCATCTGGGTGACCGAAGTAGATTATTGACTCTCCGGTGAACAATTTGAAAGGTCGACCTCCCTTCCATCTGCTCTCACAGATTCATAACTCTCTCATCTCTTTTGCAATCAGAGCAACCTTCCAAGACGATAATAATGATAGACTGTGAAAGAGGCATTCTGAAGATGTACAAACGGATATCTGGAGACGGTCAGCCTGTTAGCGCGTCGATTCTGGTATGCTCCTAAGTCAACTCACGTTAGATACTCCACACTGGAGCCTATAACAAACACAAAATGCTGAGTGATTAGAAGTTAGGCGATAGTATGCTAATAAGATTTGGTCGAGTTAATGTTTCCTATCTCCTTGATTATGCAACTTTCAAGTCATGCAACATTCACCTCACTATTGATTGTTCACGCGGAAACAGTCATTGTGAATTTTAGCAGCAGAGACGTAAACCTGAATCAGCGACACGAATCCGTTGATAATGATGATTACATTTTGAATCGACTGCCAGGACTGTTAATTGAACCAACTTTGAACCAACCCGAATGTGATTTGTCATACAGAAGTCTTCAGAATGACTAAACTCACTATTCCTTTCATCATGAGCAGAGGTAGTATTATCGTTTGAGTATTTAACCGCTATGTGGTTGTTTTTTCCTTCTCAAGGTTTTGGTGGTTCTGGTGGTGAGTCATTTGAAATCAAGCATCATCATTAATATCAAGTATTTATGGAATGTCTAACACCGTGCATGAAATATTTAGTAAAATTCAATATTCATTTAATGTCACTAATGGAAACCGGTGATGAGGAAACTCATATCTGATGTTCATTTCGACTCCAAATCCAAACAATGATCCATCACATTGAAAGCAGTCCGTCAAAGTGATGCAAATGGAGACAGTCTCTGTCTGCCTCACTAGAATCACCACTCATTTATCACATACTCAGGTGAATGTACTGCTTCTTCTCGCGTGTGTATATCACGATAAGTGTGTTCAGTCGTCATCGACATTCGAAAATACTCAAGTCAAAACTGAATACGGACAGTTGACTGCTGATGGAAGTGTTGGTGGCATAGCGTTTGTCGCCTAGCTGTAGACCAGTCTGCCTCAATCTCCGTTTTTATCGAAACTCTCTCAGGCGGGTTGAACGTCACCTGAGAAAAGAAAATAGTCGTTCACAATGAATGTATTGAGATGGAAGTGCAAAACTGATGCAGACTGCTTAGTACTGATTAACTCCATAATGCGTACTATCGTGCATCTCACTAATGGCGGCGTAAAGTGATGCACGGCTGGCTCAACCACAATCATATGACTGGATGAAGCGTAGTATTTGACGAAGGCACGAAATTCATGCGCTCTTTGTCGTCTCGAAAGTGTAGCATTCTGTGTGCACAACAACTGCATCACTGTAACATCAATCTGGTCTGTGAAACGAGACGATGAATACACAATTCATTTATGAAAGACGCCTAACATCCCTGACATAAGCGAAGAATTTAGGCACTCCTACTGAATAGGATTTCATACGGAGGAGACCTTAATGTGATTATGAGCAGTAAATTGCGTGAAACAGGTCATCAGATAGCAACCAATGCTGTGTTGCTGTATGCCTCATCAGACAGAAAGACTCTTATATCGAGCTTAACAGTGGTTATGTATAGATAGATTACGAAAAGGAAACCAACGATGGCCAATTCCACAGGAAGTTCTACCTGCCACTGTGTTCTAGGAGAATGAGAGTAACTGATATTCAACCCTATGACAATAAAGATGCAGTAATTCATAGAATCATTACGACATGCAGAGTGTACAGATGCTATTTATTTACACTTTCTTCACAGATGTCAAAAACCGTGAGAGTAAGTTAACAATTCAATCGATCGAATTTATCGTACTTAAAGCAATAGAAAGCGATGAAGGCGGAATTTCAATCTACACTGACAGACTTTCACATTGAGTTGTGTATTTAACAGACACATTGCACTTGATTCGAGACACAACCGCTTTCTGTTTGAGATGTCATATGCACTTCGTCCGGCGTTGTTGACACGGGTATCGTTGTTAATTGATAGAAACAGGTGGATAGGAGGCTGAATGCCTACATGTCAGATGCATCCTGATGAGAGTCGGTTGTACTCTGCACTGCATCATGCGATCGATTGCGTGTTTCTAGTTATACTGACATACAGTTGTCATTCAGTGTGTTCGTAGGAACCAGACAGATGCATGTTAGTTAACTTATATACACACTGCCTCAACCAGTTTTATAATGGAATTTTCATGTCAGAGTTTATAAACCCATATCAATTAGTATCTGCAAGTTGTTGAGGATGGAGATACTGGTGTGACTTACCTGCGAGAATTTTATTTCTCACTTATTACCACTGTTGAAATTTCTGAGGCGATCACAAATTGACACTGTGTGCATCGATGTTAACAGAGGGAAGCTGGATAGAGGAATGTTTTCTTCGTTGATGAAGTCATCTGCAAAGGCTGTGCAGTAGTTATGACATTTTATGAAACTTGTGAAAGTCTTCTTTCAAGAAATGAGTTGGGGAACGTGATCATTACAGTTACTGAGACATGGTTCAGAAAGTTGTAGAGAAATCGCTATACAAACGCTGACACAATAGCAATGGTATTTTGAAATTTGATAAATTGAAAGAAATTTTTATTAGGTGATAATCGAGGTGATTGAATGGTCATTTAGAAAATGTGAACAAAGTGAGTAGGATATCTTGATGTGATGCACAGAAGGGAGATGTGAGAGTGGTGATGGCTAACTAATTTCTAAAAGTAGAAGTGTACAAATAGGAATGAGATGAGGATCATGCTAGAATAAGAGACTGAACAAATCTCTTCTACACACGGATTTCGAGATCGGACTGATGAATCCTTAGAGTCGATGCCATGAATGAGTGTCGAAACATAGTGTCCTCTGTACCACACAGCCTGAATCATTTTATAATTTATTTCATTCGTCATGTAAATCATTGAACACATTTTTGTATATCCTCATCAAGATGTTCCAACGGCATCAGGTAAGCTAAATATTTGACGAGATGACCACTTGGTCTCCACATTGTTCATGTCACATATAATACCACTACTAACGACTTCAACATGCATATTCAGTTTCCAGATATCTTACTGAATAACAATGGAGAGTAACGTATCATGTGCCTGAAGTGCAGTTGTTCACCTACATGTAGGAGTACGGAATATTTGATTAGTGAATTAGGACGATGAGTTTCCAGATTTCGTCGAATGGAATTCGTGTTCACTCGTTAGGACTGATGTTAATATCTGAATAGAATTATTCTGAATAGTTTTTAAACTAGACATATTAGATCCTGTGACACAGTGCTCTCTGGGCTGGAGCAGAAACGAATCCACTGTGAGTTTTCTGCTTCGTCAATTAACATCAGGAATTGAACGACATTTTGTTGCAAGCCAACTATAAAATGTTAAGGTAAACATTCTGAGAACCAAGAACTCGAGTACTCGAGTAGAGTTAGAGTATGTATTGGGAGACTTCACCACACACACACCCACAATCAGGCATTTTCTAAAATTCAGCTGAACCTTCACAATCAGCATGTTGTTGACAGTTGAAATGCACGCCAGAGGAAATAATACCATTATAGGTCATATTGTAATCGATTCCAACAAATTGAATGTGGAAAATCTTATATGCAATATGGCAATGGAAGCTGTTGGTAGCACAAGTTTTAAGTAGGCCATCAGGTGATTGTTGGAGCTGTGAGTATAGCCAGGCGAGCAGTTGGCTATGAGTTAGCCAGCTTATCTCACAGACGAATTTCCAGTGGTGTTCTCAGATCCATATTCAGATTACAGGTTGAATTGTGCCTGATTAGTAGTCTGTTTATGATGATCCAGTTTGAAACTTTGTTTGAATTTCAACTGAGCTTTAATTTTGTGCACATGAGGATTGTCGACTTGTCGACGAGTCATAGAAATCTGACAATATTTTGAAGATGAGGGAAATCGGGCTGGATTATTTCGGTGGAGTTTCGGAAGTGGGATTTCATAGGAATGGGATGATCGGTTTGCATGAGTAATGATCCTGGCGTTATTGATCATGTCGCACTCGCGTAATATCTTCATCTGGGAACCCCATATTCAAGCCACACAAATTCATAGAAACCACACGCTATTCTCTCAGCATCATGATGAGCCAATTCTAATTGCATATCTCAACCATTGTTTAACTTTTACAAGGCATGGGAGACGGTGAGTATTTCTGTAAACCACTGAGTCTATGCTTTTGATGAGCATCGTAAAATGTACTGACGATTGGAGGTGAACAAGGGTGCAGTCAGTTGACTAGACACAAAACGATCGCTCAGGATTTTCACGTTTTCTATTCACGTTTAATGAAATTGAGTGAGTGTCAGTCCATGGTACGGATGTACAGACAGACATTGATTACCAAGTGTTCATAGAGAATGACTCTAGTGTTATTCATGTAATTTTCGCACAGGTCCTGTATTCAGTTTGGAGTTCTACGGCAGTTGTTCCAATGCACTGATTTACTGGCGACGCGCATGCATTTAAATGGCACTACATTTCCGTCCACCTGTTGATAAACTCTTCTCAGTCACTCAGCACTGCGTGTATATCAGCCAGCCAGTGGTACCAGTCTCCGTGTGGAATGAATGTGGTGGGATTCGGTGCCACTATATTACCCTGTATCACTGAGTCATAGACACTTTATGACAAAATTATGTTTAGAAAATCAAAGGAATTGATTCAGTGAAGAGTCTGTTCTCAACTGACTTATCATCAAGTTGTACAGTCGTCAATATATCACTCCTTGTTGATAATGGGTATGGTGATCAGAGATGATTGGTCACCTGCTTTATAAAATAATTCGTGAAATGCATAGATGTCAAAGGGGTGTAGAAATAATAAGATTATTAGCAGTTAAAACATGACTCAACGAGGTGTTAATCAATTTGTTGGTGTTGTTGGTGTTACTTGATTCCTCCCTGAGGACTAGAATTCGCGATTATCATGAATATTTAACCATTTCAATTACTTCGTTTAAGATGTTCTCTTCTTGTACTAATACACGTTTTACTTTTGGAAATGGAATTATGTTGAAGACAATGAGCAACGCCGTAAGTATTGAACATCCTATTTCATGAGCGAAAGAATTTCCATGAATAAAACATCCATAATCAAACACATTGCGTTAAATTCTGGAATCTCTGTTGAGCAGATACATTGTCCAGTCGCCAATTTTCCGAATATATATATGTATATAACTACTCACACACGTGGAAGAGAAGTGCAAGTGTTTGTATGTGGTATTAACCTGATCACAATCAAATCAGACATTATCCCAACGAACACACCAGCATCGAATAAGTAGATCGGTGAGAGTTTAGGTGCGACAAACGCAGGCGAATGTTAGACGCGTAGAAACAATGCGAGTTATTTTTATGACAAGAGTAGAGAACATGATATGAGTTAGAAACTTGATGGCTAGAATGAGAAGCAAGTGTGAAAGAGTTAACCATTTAAAATCTCAATGGATAGAGGATAAAATTTGCCAGTGTTGGCTGAAAACAAGAGCATATTCATCAGGTGGTCATTTGACAGTTAATTGGATTAACCAGAAGAAGCATCCCACTGAGATTTGTGAATTCTTCAAATGTTCACAGGCCAGCTACCATTCGTCATCACGAAAATTTACAGCTGAAATGACGTCGAGAGTACAGGCAGTGTGCACGACGTCATCGGATGATAATTCAACTGGTGAATTATCCTGCCACTTCAGTGTTCATAACGTCTGAACGATTAAGTCTGCTATAAAATGAAACTTCGTATTATATTGTGCACATGGTATTGATGTTCATGTATTGAATTCATCACTCTTACATGTCGAGACAGAAGACTGAAATATGTGTGTTGAATGTCTCACTTGCTCAATCTTACATTGACTTCACACTCACCAAGGATATGAAAAGTTTAAGTGACACGTGAACGGTACCGACGTTTCAAGGTGTTGTTCATCATCTCCCTCATCATTGGTGATTACTTTACCAGGCTTCGGTGATTTATGAAATGATATTCATTGAAACCACATTTCGTTTTTTTATATATATTCTAACTTGTTAAATGACCACGTTACTTGTAGGAATTAACAGTATGTTTATATTGATATGAAATCCAATTATTTGATGTTATTTTGCTTTCTTTGTCAGTGATGTGTGTATTAATTCCGCGACAATTTTTATTAATTTAGTGATTTCTAGAGAATTATTTGAAGGCATGACACTGTGTTGAGTGGAAGCGGAACTGAATGCACTGCTTTGTTCTCTGTGATAAGAGATGATTCTTTTCCAGACAGATATGATGCAGGAATTTCGTCAAGGTTATGAAGATCCGTTTACTTGATATATTCCTGCAGTTGTTTCGCGTTTAATTACAATTCACAGAAATATACGACGACAAATGAGTAGCCTAGTTAATTTCCTTTATTTGTCCCTTCAGTCACAGACATCAGTAACGCTTTAGCTTTCGTCACTGTATCATACACAGTTGGAACACCTGACAGGATTTGCATTTCAGGAATATGGCTAGTATGTATCTAGTGATGGTTGAAGACTAGTGAAATCATCCTACGGCTTGTATTCACAACCACCAGTCGTTTATGAAACAAGTGGAATGTTGTCTCATTTCTTCTAGGATGAAATTGTTGTTGTGACCAGCTGGTTCTCAAATGTTCATTCGAGTTTTCTAATACGTCAGTGGATAGGTGGACAATAGACGGAATATTCACACTCACATGGTCATTATTATTCTACCCTTTGGGTTCCCAGTGGAACATAGTGTCTTACCAGGACATCTCCACTTCATCCTGTTCTCTGCAGTCCCTTGAGTCTGACTACACGGTTGCTCCTAGATTTCATCTCCAACTCACACAGTCGCCTCCATACCAAACGCCAACGCCCAACTCGTAGTCTTTCATCCCATCTGGGCTCCACTCGACCTGTGACTTTCCAGCTTTTCTCAATCATCTGTCTCCACTTAAAATGTTGAGTCCACCTGAATTCTCTTGTGCAAGTCTGTTGGACAGTAGGTTATTGACTGATTATCCACCTGTCAGATTTGCATGTTACTCATTATCTCTGGTCACCCGGCTAACTGTTCGTCACTATCGGGTGAAAACAGTTATTGATGGAAGTATGCAGCAGGCTGTTGGAAATGCTATTGGTGCAGCAGGAGGTCAGTCTCCGAAACCTACGGAAGCAATGACTTGACATTAGTCTCGAAAATTCCACTTCCGTTGCTTGAGCAATATGCTGAAGATCCGTAAACTGAAATTAGAGCAAAGGACAACCGTCTTTCGATTCCGATCCTGGCTGGTTTCGACATCCCCATCTGTGCCGCCTGTAACCGCAACGATGCTGCTGAAATCTGAATCAACTGCGAAGCACAGATCTCTCAGAGTCTTCTCGTCATCAGGACAGTAAATTGAATCAACTGTGAACCAAACCGAATGTGATTTCTCACAGAGCAGTCTTCAGGATGACTAACCGCACTGTTCATTTCATCATTAACAGAGGAAGTATTATCGTTTCAGTATTTAACAGTAATGTGGTTGTTTTTTTCCTTCTCAAGCTTTTGGTACTGGCAGTGAGTCATTCGAAAACAAGCATCACCATTAATAATATCGAGTATTTATGGAATGTTTAATATTGTGTCCGTAAACTATGTTATAAATATTCAGGAAATGTCACCACTGGAAACCAGTGATGAGGAGGTCTATTTTTGATGTTCATTTCAACTCCAAATCCAACCACTGATCCATCACATTGAAAGTAGTTCGTCAAAGTGATGCAAATGGAGACAGTCTCTCTCTGTCTCACTAGTTTCGTTATCCAGTTATCACATACATACTCTAAAGCCGACATACACAGTCCACTGATGCTATTTATTTACACTTTCTCCACAGATGTCAAAAACTCTGAGAGTAAGTTAACAATTCAATCGATCGAATTCATCGTACTTAACACATTGGAGATCGATGAAAGCGGAATTTCAGTGTCAACTGACAGACGTTCACATTAAATTATGTATTTGACAGACACATTGTACTTGATTCGAGACACAACCGCTTTCTGTTTGAGATGTCATATGCACTTCGTCCGGCGTTGTTGGCACGGGTATCGTTGTTAATTGATAGAAACAGGTGGATAGGAGGCTGAATGCCTACATGTCAGATGCATCCTGATGAGAGTCGGTTGTACTCTGCACTGCATCATGCGATCGATTGCGTGTTTCTAGTTATACTGACATACAGTTGCCATTCAGTGTGTTTGTAGGAACCAGACAGATGCATGTTAGTTAACTTATATACACACTGCCTCAACCAGTTTTATAATAGAATTTTCATGTCAGAGTTTATAAACCCACATCGATTAGAATCTGCAAGTTGTTGAGGATGGAGACACTGGTGTGACTTACCTGTGGAAATTTTATTTCTCACTTATCGCAACTGTTGAAATTTCTGAGGCGACCACACGCTGGCTCATTGTGCTTCAACATAAACAGAAGGAAACTGAAATGAAGAATAGTGAGGTCATCTGAAACGGCTGTACATTTGTTCTGACATTTTGTGAAACTAATACTAATTTTCTTGTAAGTAGTGCGGTGGAAAACGTGATTATTGCAGTAATTAGGATGTGGTTTGTAAATGTGTAGAGAAATTGCTCTACAACTACTGACACAATGGCAATGGTATTTTGCAATCAAATTAAGTGAGAATGGTTATTCAGTGAGAATCGGGGTGATTGAATGGTCATTTAGAAAATGTGAACAAAGTGAGTAGGATATCTTGATGTGATGCACAGAAGGGAGATGTGAGAGTGATGATGGCTAACTAATTTCTAAAAGTAGAAGTGTACAAGTGGAAAAGAGATGAGGATCATGCTAGAATAAGAGACTGAACAAATCTCTTCTTTCCGAGTTGGACTGATGAATCCTTCGAGTCTACGCCATGAATTAGTGACGAAACATAGTGTCGTTTGCACGAGTCAGCCTGACTCTGTATATTATTTCTTCCACTCATCGTGTAAATTACTGAACTAATGTTTGCATATTCTCATCAAGATGTTCCAATGACATCAGGTAAGTTGAATAATTGACGAGATGACCACTTGGTCTCCCCATTGTTCATGTCAAATATAACACTACTGCCAACGAGTTCAACATGCATATTCATTTTCCAGATATCTTACTGAATTACAATGGAGAGTAAGGTATCATGTGCCTGAAGTGCAGTTGTTCACCTACTTGTAAGAGTGCGGATTACCTGATGACTGAATTGGGACAATGAGTGTCCTAATTTCGTAGAATGAAATGGATGTTTACTCATTAGGACTGATGTTAATATTTGAATAGAATTATTCTGAATAGTTTTTAAACTCGGTATATTAGATCCCGTGACACAGTGCTCTCTAGACTGGAGCAGAAATGAATCCACTGTACGTTTTCTGCTTCGTCAATTAACATCAAGAATTGCACAACATTTGGTTGCAAACCAACTATAAAATGTTCAGGTGAACATTCTGAGACGCAAGTGCTTTACTCGAGAACAGTTTTAGTATGTATCGGGAGACTTCACCATACACACACCCACAATCAGGCATTTTATAAAATTCAGCTGAACCTTCACAATCAGCATGTTGTTGACAGTTGAAATGCACGCCAGATGAAATAATACCATCAGAGATCATATTGTAATCGATTCCAACAAATTGAATGTGGAAAACCTTATATGCAATATGGCAATGGAAGCTGTCGGCAGCACAAGTCGTACGTAGGCCGTCAGGTGATTATTAAAGCCGTGAGTATACCCGGGCTAAAAATTGGACATGAATTAGCCAGCTTATCTCACAAACAAATCTGCAGTGGTGTTCTTAGATCCATATTCAGATCACAGGTTGAATTGTGCCTGATTAGTAGTCCGTTTATGATGATCTAGGTTGAAATTCCGGCTGCTGACAAAGCCTGTTCATTAACACTGTTGGAATTTCAACTGAGCTTTCATTTTGTGCACATGAGGATTGTCGACTTGTCGACGAGTCATAGAAATCTAACAATATTTTGAAGATGAGGGAAATCGGGTTGGAGTATTTCGAAGGAGTTTCGGAAGTGGGATTTCATGGGAATGTGTTGATATGCAAGTATTTGTAACGGTTCTGGCTTTAGTGATTCAAGCCAGACAAGTTCATGAAAACTATATACTTTCCTAAAGACAAAAAGATGGGCAATTTATAAATGCGCATTTCAATCATTGTTTAACTTTAACAAGGCACGGGAGACGGTGAGTATTTCTGTAAATCATGGAGTATATGGTTTTCATCAGCATCGTAAAATGTCACTGTCGAGTGTAGGTGAACAAGGGTGCAGTCAGTTGAGTAGTCAGTTGAGACACTAAGCGATCGCTCAGGATTTTCACATTTTCTATTCACGTTTAATGAAATTGAGTGAGTGTCAGTCCATGGTATGGATGTACATACAGACATGGATTACCAAGTGTTCATACAGAATGATTCTAGTGTTATTCATGTATTTTCCGCTCAGTTCCCGTATTCAGTGTGGAGTTCTATGACAATTGTTCCAATGCACTGATTTACTGGCGACGCGCATGCATTTAAATGGCACTGCATTTCCGTCCACCTGATGATAAACTCTTCTCAGTCACTCATTACTGCGTGTACATCAGCCAGCCAGTGGTATCGGTCTTTGGCTGGAATGAATGTGGTGGGATTCGGTGCCACTATACTACCCTGTATCACTGAATCATAGACACTTTATGACAAAATTATGTTTAGAAAATCAAAGGAATTGATTCTGTGAAGAATCTGTTCTCAACTGACTTATCATCAAGTTGTACAGTCGTCAATATATCACTCCTTGTTGATAATGGGTATGGTGATCAGAGATGATTGGTCACCTGCTTTATAAAATAATTCGTGAAATGCATAGATGTCAAAGGGGTGTAGAAATAATAAGATTATTAGCAGTTAAAACATGACTCAACCAGGTGTTAATCAATTTGTTGGTGTTGTTGGTGTTACTTGATTCCTCCCTGATGACTAGAATTCGCGATTATCATGAATATTTAACCATTTCTATTACTTCGTTTAAGAGGTTATTTTTTTGTACTAATACACATTTTACTTTTGGAAATGGAATTATGTTTAAGACAATGAGCAACGCCGTAAGTGTTGAACATCCTATTTCATGAGCGAAAGAATTTGCATGAATAAAACATCCATAATCAAACACATTGGGTTAAATTCTGGAATCTCTGTTGAACAAATAAAATGTCCAGTCGACATTCTTCTCGATATATAAATACTGATATATATATATATATATATATATATATATATATATATATATATATATATGCATATGTAACTACTAACACACGTGGAAGAGAATTGCATATTGTTGTATGTGGTACAAATATGGGTACTTGGTATTCACCTGGTCGGAATCAAATCACACAATCTCCCAACGAACACACCAGCATCGAATGAGTAGATCAGTGAGTGTATATGTGAATCATCCTGCCACTTCAGTGTCCATGACTTCTGAACGATTAAGTCTGCTATAAAATGAAACTTCGTATTATATTGTGCACATGTTATCGATGTTCATGTATTGAATTCATCACTCTTACATGTCGAGACAGAAGACTGAAATATGTGTGTTGAATGTCTCACTTGCTCAATCTTACATTGACTTCACACTCACCAAGGATATGAAAAGTTTATGTAACACGTGAACAGTACCGACGTCTCGAGGTGTTGTTCATCATCTGCCTCATCATTGGTCAATAATTTTTATAAGGCTTTGTTGGTTTAGGAAATGGAAGTCACTGAAGCCATATTCCGTTGATTTATATATTTTCTAACTTGTTAAATGACCACGTTACTTGTAGGAATTAACAGTATGTTTATATTGATATGAAATCCAATTATTTGATGTGATTTTGCTTTCGTAATCAATGATGTGTGTATTTCTTTCGCCACAATTTCGTTTAATTTTCTGACTTCTAGTGAATTGTTTGCAAGCATAACACTGTGTTGAGTGGAAGTGGAACTGAATGCACAGCTTTGTTCTCTGTGATTAAGGATGATTGGTTTTGCAGACAGATTTGATGCAGGAACTTCACCAAGGTTAGGAAGATCCGTTCACTTGATATATTCCTGCAGTTGTTTCGCGTTTAATTACAATTCACAGAAATATACGACGACAAATGAGTAGCCTAGTTAATTTCCTTGATTTGTCCCTTCAGTCACAGACATCAGTAACGCTTTAGCTTTCGTCACTGTATCATACACAGTTGGAACACCTGACAGGATTTGCATTTCAGGAATATGGCTAGTATGTATCTAGTGATGGTTGAAGACTAGTGAAATCATCCTACGGCTTGTATTCACAACCACCAGTCGTTTATGAAACAAGTGGAATGTTGTCTCATTTCTTCTAGGATGAAATTTTGTTGTGACCAGCTGGTTCTCAAATGTTCATTCGAGTTTTCTAATACGTCAGTGGATAGGTGGACAATAGACGGAATATTCACACTCACATGGTCATTATTATTCTACCCTTTGGGTTCCCAGTGGAACATAGTGTCTTACCAGGGCATCTCCACTTCATCCTGTTCTCTGCAGTCCCTTGAGTCTGACTCCACGGTTGCTCCTAGATTTCATCTCCATCTCACACAGTCGCCCCCATACGAAACGCCAACGCCCAACTCGTAGTCTTTCATCCCATCTGGGCTCCACTCGACCTGTGACTTTCCAGCTTTTCTCAATCATCTGTCTCCACTTAAAATGTTGAGTCCACCTGAATTCTCTTGTGCAAGTCTGTTGGACAGTAGGTTATTGACTGATTATCCACCTGTCAGATTTGCATGTTACTCATTATCTCTGGTCACCCGGCTAACTGTTTGTCACTATCGGGTGAAAACAGTTATTGATGGAAGTATGCAGCAGGCTGTTGGAAATGCTATTGGTGTAGCAGGAGGTCAGTCTCCGAAACCTACGGAAGCAATGACTTGACATTAGTCTCGAAAATTCCACTTCCGTTGCTTGAGCAATATGCTGAAGATCCGCAAACTGAAGTTAGAGCAAAGGACAACCGTCTTTCGATTCCGATCCTGGCTGGTTTCGACATCCCCATCTGTGCCGCCTGTAACCGCAACGATGCTGCTGAAATCTGAATCAACTGCGAAGCACAGATCTCTCAGAGTCTTCTCGTCATCAGGACAGTAAATTGAATCAACTGTGAACCAAACCGAATGTGATTTCTCACAGAGTAGTCTTCAGGATGACTAACCGCACTGTTCATTTCATCATTAACAGAGGAAGTATTATCGTTTCAGTATTTAACAGTAATGTGGTTGTTTTTTTCTTTCTCAAGCTGATGGTGGATCACCTTGTGAGTCATTCGAAAACAAGCATCACCATTAATAATATCGAGTATTTATGGAATGTTTAATATTGTGTCCGTAAACTATGTTATAAATATTCAGGAAATGTCACCACTGGAAACCGGTGATGAGGAGGTCTATTTTTGATGTTCATTTCAACTCCAAATCTAACCACTGATCCATCACATTGAAAGTAGTTCGTCAAAGTGATGCAAATGGAGACAGTCTCTCTCTGTCTCACTAGTTTCGTTATCCAGTTATCACATACATACTCTAAAGCCGACATACACAGTCCACTGATGCTATTTATTTACACTTTCTCCACAGATGTCAAAAACTCTGAGAGTAAGTTAACAATTCAATCGATCGAATTCATCGTACTTAACACAGTGGAGAGCGATGAAAGCGGAATTTCAGTGTCAACTGACAGACGTTCACATTGAGTTGTGTATTTGACAGACACATTGTACTTGATTCGAGACACAACCGCTTTCTGTTTGAGATGTCATATGCACTTCGTCCGGCGTTGTTGGCACGGGTATCGTTGTTAATTGATAGAAACAGGTGGATAGGAGGCTGAATGCCTACATGTCAGATGCATCCTGATGAGAGTCGGTTGTACTCTGCACTGCATCATGCGATCGATTGCATGTTTCTAGTTATACTGACATACAGTTGTCATTCAGTGCGTTCGTAGGAACCAGACAGATGCATGTTAGTTAACTTATATACACACTGCCTCAACCAGTTTTATAATGGAATTTTCATGTCAGAGTTTATAAACCCACATCGATTAGAATCTGCAAGTTGTTGAGGATGGAGACACTGGTGTGACTTACCTGTGAGAAATTTTTTTCTCACTTATCGCAACTGTTGAAATTTCTGAGGCGACCACACGCTGACTCAGTGTGTTTCAACATAAACAGAAGGAAACTGAAATGAAGAATAGTGAGGTCATCTGAAACGGCTGTACATTTGTTCTGACATTTTGTGAAACTAATACTAATTTTCTTGTAAGTAGTGCGGTGGAAAACGTGATTATTGCAGTAATTAGGATGTGGTTTGTAAATGTGTAGAGATATTCCTCTACAACTACTGACACAATAGGAATGGTATTTTGCAATCAAATTAAGTGAGAATGGTTATTCAGTGAGAATCGGGGTGATTGAATGGTCATTTAGAAAATGTGAACAAAGTGAGTAGGATATCTTGATGTGATGCACAGAAGGGAGATGTGAGAGTGGTGATGGCTAACTAATTTCTAAAAGTAGAAGTGTACAAGTGAAAAGAGATGAGGATCATGCTAGAATAAGAGACTGAACAAATCTCTTCTTTCCGAGTTGGACTGATGAATCCTTCGAGTCTACGCCATGAATGAGTGACGAAACATGGTGTCGTTTGCACGAGTCAGCCTGACTCTGTATATTATTTCTTCCACTCATCGTGTAAATTACTGAACTAATGTTTGTATATTCTCATCAAGATGTTCCAATGACATCAGGTAAGTTGAATAATTGACGAGATGACCACTTGGTCTCCCCATTGTTCATGTCAAATATAACACTACTGCCAACGAGTTCAACATGCATATTCATTTTCCAGATATCTTACTGAATTACAATGGAGAGTAAGGTATCATGTGCCTGAAGTGCAGTTGCCCATGTACTCGCAGGCGTACGGAATATGCGCCTAGTGAGTTTGGAAGACGAAGTTTTTTATTTCGTCGAATGAAACTGATGTTTTCTCGTTCAGATTATTTATTTCAGAGTTTAGTATACCTAATCTACACATCTGCTGATTTAGCCACCTAATCTGACAAACGAACTTCGAGTGGTGTTTTTAGCTCCATATTCTGATTACCGGTTGATTTGTGCCTGATGATTGGTGTGATTGTGATGATCTACCTTTGAAATTCCAACAGTTGTTGCCACACATTTATCACACTGTTTGAATTTGGGCTGAGCTTTTCTTTATGTGGATGTGTGAATTGTCGAGTTCGCGTTCAGTCATACACATCTGTAATCTCTTTGAAGATGAGAAGAATTAGGTCCGCTTCCTCAATGAAGTCTCAGAAGTGAGATTTGAAGGGAATGAAGTGGTCAGCATAAACTTTCAACGGATCTAATGTCCCAGATTAAGCCTTTTTTCTAATCCCAGTTAAGCCACATAACTCCATGAGAACAACATGTTTTTTCTATAAACTTCATAATGCTCTAACTCCAAACGCTTATTTCAACTGATGCCTGTCTTTTAAAAGGAACTGCCAACGGTGAGTATTTATGTCAATCACAAAATTTTAGTTTTCAGTGAGTGTCGTTGAAAGTCATTGTCGAGTAGAGGTAAACAAAGGCCGGGTCACTTAAAATTTCGCTCAACAGTTATTCAGAATCAATGACGCACTGGATACAGAACTCCGACCTGAACAAACTAGATTTAGGAAGGGCAAATCACACTCTGACCAAATTGCAACTCTATGCATCATCACCACAGAACAAAGCATGGAATGGCAATCAAACCTCTACCTAAACTTTATAGACTTTGAGAAGGCCTTCGACAACGTTGACCGCGAAGTAATTTGCAAACTACTCGAGTACTACGGCGTACCTCGAATATTCATCAACCTTTTTCAACAGCTATACGACAACGGCACATGTCAAGTCGTCCACAACGGAAAACTCAGCGAGGTGTTTCGAGTAAACACAGGGGTCAGACAAAGGTGTTTATTATCAGCAATGATATTCCTAATTGTGGTGAACTGGATTATGCGTCAGACAGTAGGTGGGAAACGAGAAGACAGGGATATCCTGGATCAACGTGGAGAACCTAAAAGACCTGGATTTCGCGCGTGAATGATTTATGTTTGATGTCACACAAAATCGAAGACTTACAGGCAAAAGCTGACAAACCGGTCGAAAAAGCGGCCGGCGAAGACAGGACTCCAAGTGAACATAGACAAGACGGAGGTTATGAAAATAACCAACCAACAACAACAGCAACACCGACATCCAGCAACGATCACCATCAACGGGAGGGATTGGAATGAGGTTACTTCATTCACTTATCTAGAGAGCATTGTCTCAACTACAGCCAGTCGGAACGGACGAGGATGTCACATCGAGCGAGAATCGGGAAGGCGAGAAACACATTCATCAACCTGAAACCAATCTGGAAACGGATATTCGTCACTCAGCCAGAATCAACAAACAAACAAATTAAGAACCATTCGCCAACCAACAAATATGTAGGATAAAGTGGGGATGGATTCGACACTCGCGGCTGAGGAGGCCACTGTGTGACATCGTGCGCACGTCAGGTCATTGCTCAACTGGAACCTGAAAGGAAACAGCGAGTGTCACGTCAGTGCAAGGGTGACATGGAGGAGATCGCGTGAAGAGAAGTCAAACAGTATGGACTAACATGGAAGCAGGTGAAAAGTACAGTAGAAGACAGAAGCAAGTGGAGACGTGCAGTTGAAGCCCTTTGTTCCACAAGGAACAAAAGGGAACAATAATAATATTGTCTTCTGTTTACTTCTACTGAAATTGTGTGAGTTCATCATCTGAGTCCGAATGTACATGAAGATATGAATTACGAAGTGTTCATATTTAACCAATCTGGTGTTATTCACGTATTTTTCATACAATTTCTCTATACGACAGTTGCGTCAATGCACTGACCTGCTTGTCAGACATCAAAATCTAGATGACGCTGAGTTTCTGTCATTCTGATGATTGAACATTCCCAGTCATGCAGCAGTAGATGTACGTCAGCCAGTAGTATTGATCTCTGTTTCGAAAGCAATTGTGGTGGGGGGGGGGTTAAATACTACCATATTGCCTTGTATTACTGTTAGAAATTTCTTGCGTCAAAATTGTGTCTATCGTACTACTTGAATGCTCCCCGATGACTAGAATCCACGATTATCATGAATATTTAACCATTTCTATTACTTTGCTTCCGATCGTATTTTGTTGTACTAATACACTATTTACTTTTGGAAATGGAATTATATTAAGAAATGGAGCAACGCCGTAAGTATATATATATATATATTAAAATCTACCGTGTACAGATATAGAATTTGACTAGATTTACACGTCGAACAGAGGTACAAATTGTTGTTTGTGGTGCAAACATGGGTAGTGTCGAAATCTAATCATACATTTGCAAATAGAACATATCAGCATCAAATAAGTAGGTTTGTTGGAGTGAGGAAGCAGGCCAGTGTTATACGCGTGAAAGTGATAAAAATTAGTTTCGTGACAAGAGCACAGCATTTACTCTGTGCTAGAGACTTGACAAGCTAGAACGGGAGGCAAGTGTGAAAGAATTATCAATTTTAAATCTAAATAGACAGAGGATAACATTTGCCAGTATCCGCTGAAAATGACAGTAAATTCACCAGACAATCATTTGTCAGTCACGTGGATTACCCAAAAGAAGAATTTCACTGAGAATTGTGAATTCTTTAAATCCCTCTGTGTTTGCTACTACTTGTCAGCCTAAATCTTAACAGCTGGAAGAACTTCGAGAGTACAACCAATGCTGTGCGCGACTTCGGCAGATGATAATTTCACTGGTGAATTACCAGTCTCCTCAGTGTGTAAGCCGTCTCAACGACTAGGCATGTCACGAAACCAAAATTTCTTATTATACTGCCTCTAAATAAAGTGCATTATGCCAGTGTTGTTGATGTTATGAGTTCGCTACTCTTAAATATGTTGACAGAAGACTGAAATATGTGTTGAATATTTCACTGGCGTAATGTCATATTGACTTCAAACTTATCGAGTATATGCAGTTTACGTGACACGTGAACATTACCAACGTTCATTTGTGATTGGTGAATGAGTTTTACAGTAGCTTACAGGATTTCATCATGAGCTGACATTGGTTAGAGAACCAGTGGAAATCCTGGGAGTACTACAGAGCTGTGTTCTTCCGTCCTAGTTTTGGACTCTTCATCAGTACGCACCTACCTCGCTACGGTTCAAACCTAGAACCCTCTGGCGACTATGCAAGCTAGCTCACAGACCATTAAGCCACTGTAACCCGATCCAATGGCTAGCGCATTAATCCTAACTTCTGCCAATTCACGACATAGCGCGACCCCTAGCCAATGTATTTGGCGAGTATTTGTCCTCACATCCGACCAGATGCACCTTATTGGTGATGACTTCTCAGGTAACTACCTACCCGAATAGGGCCATTCGCTAGTAAGCATCTCATCGATATTTAATAGTTTTGTAACAGTTTCGGTCCTTCGGGGCGAAAATTGGTAAATTTTTGCATTCTGTAAAACTTTTTTTTAATTTTATGTATTGATTTGTGCTAATTGATGACGTTGCTTTAAAGGAATAGAATGTATGTCTTTACTTATATGAAATCTAATATATTGTTTTAATTTTTATCCTCACCAATATTGTATTATCCATTTCTGTCATAAATGCCTTTTCGCCAATATATTCATGCTAATAATGTTTTGGAAAAGGCGTTTCTAGAACCTGCTTTGAAAACCTACGGTTTAGTTTTTCTTAGATGAGAATATCAGCGCTAAATTCACTTACAATCGAGAATAAATTTATATTGTTTGGGAATAGAGAATGTCATTCCCATGCTCTATGACATAACTAAGCATTGCTCAAATGACTTCCATATTACACCTGAATGTAAGTGAGTGCATACATACACAGTGAATTCTAGTCACGTTTCTCATGGAATGATGCAAGAATAGGCACGTAAATGATTTGAAAAATTGTTGAACTACTAAACGTTGAGAATTACTGGTGGTACACAATCAATCCCTTCTCATGGCAAAACTTATTGCTCATATTGACCATAGTCTTGGTGAACCCGAACGGGTGAACTGAGTGTGCGTCCAAGAGCAACATGGAGGGAATCTTGTTAGGAGAAGATGCAGACTGATGGAGAATCATGGAGTTATTTAAGAAGGACTGCAGAGGAGACCATGAAATGAAGATATGCTGTTGAAGCCCTGTGTTTTATTCGGAACCCAATGAAATAATAATTATAACATAAGTTATTACCATGTGTCTTTTAATCCTAAAATAGACCTTTCAGCCCATTATTAACAAGCGGTAATTAGGTGTTCTACGCTATGAGACACACATCATTTTTGAAGGCTGGTAACATCATACATTTGGGCAGAATGAAATAGATTGCACGGAATCATTTACATTCGTGAATTAGTTCACTACAATGTGTCTATTAAACTTACATATTTATGTGAAGTAATGAAGACTGGTAACTCATTTATTGCATTGTCTGGCTTCAATATTTTCATTTTCGAGCTTCAGGTATCCATCTAGATAACGAATCATATCAAAGAACTGGATAACACAAAGGTTCAGTTATATATTTGCAATAGATATAAATCGGCTTATGGCATTTAACGTAACGTTCATTTATTCTTTTCGCCATTAAGTCCTCCATTATTCGATATTCTTGAAGATGGGATCAATATTTTTATCTGTATTTATGTACTATTTATAAATTTTGTCACGCCACAATAATTTTTACTTCTTGAGAATTCAAAGACATCTGAACCAATGTGATTAGTAAACTAGACGCTAATCAGTAATGATTACATTTCAATTTCTTCCAGAGGACTAAAGTAAGAAAACTTAACACTTGGTTTAATTATGAGTTGAGTTTTGACTGATATTTTTAGTAGTTATCAGTGTATTAGTAATGTATCAGTGGTTTTATCAAAACGACTTTTTTTCTCATTTTAGTTACCTACAGCGTGTAGTCTGCAACCTCAGCGTTCGGAAACATCCGCAAATATCTTTGAAATTTTGTTGATAACACTATACTAAACACTCAAAAGTTTAAATTCTCATTTGTAATGACTGTTTTATTGAAGCTTTGACTTTTTAAACTCATATTTCTCGTAATAAAATTCATTCTTACTAAAACGCAATTGTCGTTTATATGAAGCAATATCCACAGTTATCTCGGAATTATTATGTTTGGCCGAAATTTCACTTAGGTGGTTAGTACTTCAGTTGTTTAAAGTCCAAAGGATTGCTTAATAGAACTGATAGTGTAGACAACTGGATGCTGCCATTCTATGCCAACGAAATGCACAAATCGCTTTTTAATCCTAAGAAAAAATGTGTCTACAAGAAGGCTGACTACATCAATCGCTTATCGAATAGGAAATATGACTGTCATCGCATTCTTTGAGTTCAGAATGATTATGATTGAAAACACTTGACATTTAAATGAAACTAGAGATTGCTTGATGTGAAACTGAAGAAGAACATTGATGATCACTAATGTGAATGCGATTCCACCGAAACGTTGCCTTATTTCACTAGTTTTTAAGCTTTCCTACTTGTCATAAGCCAGAAAATAGTGAATAGTTGTGTGTAGATTACCGATCCCAGTTTACAGAAAGCAATTCAATAGCTACTGTGACTTCAGAGCACAAAAAAGTTAGACTTATTCACCGCTGTAATATTTAGAAGCTTTCTCACGTCAGGCATAAGATCTTTGGAATTCAGTTTATCAAAGAGAGCATCAGTAAGCATGGGAATACTGAATGTCCACAATGTACTTGAAACTGGCTGACTAGTTGTATCAGATTGATAAACAAACGAGAAGATATGACACAGATTTTCTAGAAGTTTGTGAAAGCAGATGAAATGGGAATGAACTCTGCAGTCTTTAACTCAAGAGTCAAAAGTCTACTCTAGTCACACAGACGAAAACCAGGAAAACAATGAAGGTATGGTCGTCATGATATTACCAACTGCATCGGAGGCTGTCATGGCAACCAGGTCCAACTCAAAAGTGAGAAGGTGACAATTATAAAATTCTCCTCTCCTACAGATATATCAAACCCAATGGAGATGTGGGAATTCAATAGACAACAAAAAACAAGTAGTGATTTACAAGACCGTGGCTAGATGACTGCATCAAAAGTCTAATGGGTCGTATAGATTACGAACTTGGAAAGAACTCATAATGGATTGAGAAAGGCTCAGTGAAATGAATAGGGAAGAATTATTCTTGGCAGACTACTGAGGCTATGAGGATTTGATCATTGGAGTTCGCTTATTCAAGCACAGGAATATACACAAGACGACGAATGGAGTAATAAGAGATCAGAAGACATGAAGCAAATAAGAGAAAGTGAAGGAAACCCATTTGCCAATTAGTTCGTACAGAGGAAATACTGGATTGATCACTTCAAAGGACTGGCGAATCGACCAGCCGTTTTAGCTGCCTGAGAAACATAAGTAGACGCTTAACTAACCGTGAACACTCACCTTCTGACAAAATCAGAAGTTTTGAAAGCCATAAATTTCCTACAAGACAGCAAAGAAAGCAGAAGAACAAAACCCATATTCTCACTAAATCTCCTTTCTGCTACCTCTTCTACTTACCTGTTTGTATTTTCTTTTTTATCTTGAGTTTGCGAGATATAAGACAAATCATCCGAGTCAAATTGTCAATAAAATATGTGGTTATTATCTCACTGCCATCAACCTGACACATGATAACAGCAATATTAGATATTATTGTATCAATCCTCAATTCACTACCATCCACACAAACACTCTACACTACTGGTCACGACTGGATCGGGTGCAAGTGGTCGTATGGGTGTAGATTTTAAAGCACGCTGCCAACCTCCATGGTGCTTTTTCTTGAGTTTATGACATATATGGAAGTTTTTGGGTTTAAAACGTTTTATAAAATCCCGGGAGTGAATAATTCGATTAGAATGCATAATGTGATATGTAAACACCAATAAAATATGAGTAAATAGATGCAAAATGTACATTTAGAATATGGTAGCCCAAAATGTTCAAACAGGCCGCCAAGGTTTATCATTCTGTTTTTATCCTCCTTACAAGCAATGCTAAATCCAACTAATATGATTGTAGATAATCTTCAACCAGGACACATCGAGAAACAAACATCAAAAGCAAAAGAAGAAGGAAGGTATGAAATCTGAAAACTTTCATACTCAGCACTTAGTACAAATAAATAAAGTTGATTTCAACACCCACACAGTATTAGTAGCAAAGAAAACCAAGAATGTGTAACAATGTCACCTTATTTTGGCTCTGATCTGTACATTGTTCAAAGTAAACAGTCAGTCTCACACATTGGCACTTTAAACACTACTTATTATGGTAACTTACACTGCTAAATTTGGTTATTTCTACTCAGATTTGTTTACTTGAATACTACTCAGCGACCAAAGTGAATTAATTGTATTCAATAGAAAGACAACAGAAAGGGATTTCCCGGATAATACGTTTACTTACGCTCCATGGTGTTGAAATGACTTATCATTACTGGAGTCTATAAAGTTCCACATCTTAGGCTTATACACACGACTGACTTGGACATAAAACAGTTGAAATTCTTTTGAGGTATTCATAAATAAAAATTTTATTCCTTAGGAGCCTGAATGGAGTACACCTTAGGCCCAGTAGAGACAGAGATTGAGAAACTATGTGCTACAAGCTTTTCGATTACACACTATGACAGACGGTGAGGTGATGACAGCTGGTGTAAACTTCAAACACCAACCAAACGATGAACATATGAGTAAAGGTAAAATTTTCACTTTCTTCATACAGACAGGCACAGTACACTTTTACTATTTCGCATAAGGATTTATGTAACAGAATCGAACAAAATATCTCCACATTGATTCAATCACAAATTTCGTTATACCTTCAGGACGAAAGAATTCAAGTGGATTTATTGAGTCGAGACATAAAGAAATATCCGTTCAGTGACAAGCAGGAGAATAATCATTCATCTGAATAGAGGTACAGGGTGGGACAATATTAGTTGGCTGATTTAGGAGTAACTGTTCTGAATCACATACATCTGAATATACATCAATACTAATGAGCTTCCCTGATAGTAAGTCCAATGGAACAATGCCCATTTGCCAACAGAAGGCTACAAGATAGAAATGTCTGAATATGTATATTGTCTATTTGTTATATTTCTGACAGCATTCGTAGGCAGCCTGCTTAAATCATTGGGCTACCGAAATTAGTTTCTTCCGAAATGCTTAATTTCATCTGGATTTATCATTATTTTAATCGGCCAGTTATATCAAATGACCTATACATAAACTTGCGCGATGGTTTAACTTGCTCTCAAGTAAACGCTGTACAATTCTTCAACGAAATGAAGATATACTTCCGGTTATTACTTTACATGTGAATCCTGTGTGAAGAAAAAAGTACTTTGGAACTGAATACGCTGAAAATTTTTGTACCGTATATTCGCAAAATGTCTTAAATAAAGCTTTACCATTATTACTATTATTACTAGTTGATCCTACCAAAACAAAATATTTTTTATCAAAAACCTTTCTACAGTA